CCATTTAACTACTATATAGATGAAAGTTATCGATTATTAGTTGAAGTATCAAACACGGTAATAGGTAGGAATAATGTCTTTTTTATTGAGAGAAGTTGCAATGTATTTACATTATGCATATACATAGCCGTTGGTTGTCCACTTGCATCTTCCAGTGTTTTTTACCATCCGAACTGTCTTCACGTTTGATCTCTAAGTGTTTCTGCCAACTCCATACTTCCGATACACTGAAAGTCATCACAACTGTTGCAACTTTTACACCACATTCAGTCACACTACTAATAAACATCCCTGTATGTAACGTACTCTACAGAAGTACCGTATTTCTATTCCGTTGAACTGAATCAGATGAAACGTTAATTAAATCAGTTAAGTATTGTAACAGTTTTTTATGGTTTTGATACACCATTCAAATTGTGTACAAAGTTTAACAGAATATTTCAGTAAACACAACTATTATTTACGATTACATTTTTAATCAATTTTTCATATCATTATAGACTTCCTGTCTACAATAAAACACTGTTCATGTATTTATTTTTACTAGGCATGAATTACATATTTGCACATATAATTTTGCAATTGATTTGGATCATTGGACAAAACTGATAAACAAAACTTAGAAAATAAGGTTTATCATCGCCATTATTGTCATTTGATGATGATAAGTAAAAGTGTAGATTGACAGACTATATTTATTACAATGGTAATTAAGTTTACAAACTATCCAATTCAGTCGTTAAATCATTAAATCTCACATCACATTTAACTTGTGACTCGGCTTTAAAACTCTTATACTAACCATTTCAAGTCAGTTTTCTGTGCATAAATCTTTATAATGAACCGTATAATTCTCAACGTCTTGATCGTTACACAGCTCTCTTCTTGATATTTGAAATAAAAAATCCTCTTTCCTTCCTCCAGCAGACTACTTTATTTGTTAAATTGCTATAAACAAGATTCTAAAGACTGAGTGAATGGTACAATCGTGGAGGATATTTTTACTGAATTGTCTTCACCACCATTATTTTTATCAGTCTGTGTTACCTACATCTGGTTTGATTAATAATCTTACAGTTCTGTTTGGACTGCAATATGATTCCAGTGTAAATTAAACACTAATTGTTCCAATGATCATAAACAACCATAAAATTCGTTTTTGTATTAGTTTTTGAATCTTCCCATTGATGTTTAGGACTGCGTTTGACCAATCTCTTATTGGCACATGTGCATCCTGCTCGGATGGCCTCGATATTACCTTAAGTCACAAGCATTATAAGCAGAGATGGATGATGGATAGTAGTGGAATCCAGGACGAGTATTTCGTCCCATTTGGGGCTCATTAGCTGTATGTACCTTCATCTCAGTGGATAACCCGATGGCATTTGAAGCAAACAGTACTGGGTCCTAGTCTCGGAGTAAACGTCAGCCTTCAGCTGACGAGTCCCTAATAGGATGAAACCCACGTCCCGGATTCCATTGCTAGCCACTGTTCATCTACTTATGATGATAAAATTTTAGTACTAACGACCTGAAACCAATATGTTATGTGTTATAAAATTTAATTCCCTTAAACTTCGATATTTTATTCAATCACTGATTTCTAATCATATTTATTTGACGTGACACTAATTTATCGAAAAAAATGTTCGCCGTTCTTTTATCTGTAGGTTTTAATGTCATGAGGGCTTTCAAACAGAAATCTAAATTTGTTTTAGTTAATATCATGATTCCATTATATCAGTAGTATATCTCGTAAATGTCAAGAATAAACTATATCTCATTTCATTAAGTTCTTATATTGAAACAAGGTTTCTAAAAATACGGATCTACTTTACTTGTACAATTAGTCTGCATTAATGAGTGAATTCAGCTAGATACCCATTGACAGCCAAAGAACATTGGAGATTTGTTTCATTTGATCTACAAATTTTTAAGTAGTGAGCGTGTACAGTAGACTGAGTGCTCGAGACACTGACCTAAAAGTCTACCTGCAGATTTCTGGAATCTTTGACACTCGAACTCCGTACGAGGCAAGATATAAAAGATTAGTATTGTTTACAGAAATCAAAGAGTATTTATGTGAACTGGTAATCTTGTTGTTCTAGAAGCTCTTGGAAAAGATATTTTACAGAATACCTGATAAATCTGATAAGGGACAAACACAAATAGATTGACCTCTAGATTTTTTGGGAATTCTCTTAAGATACCAATTAGTTACAAGACATTTAAAACACTTTTCGGACACTTCAAGATATTTTTACAGTTCAAACCATGAAATGATCGTAGATATATCACTATTCGAAGGCTAGTGAGAAGTGGCAATCAGTGGCGTTCAACTCTGTCGGATGTGGGACAGTTATTCACCATAGCCGTGGGAAATGGCCGCCCAATATCGTGAAACAATTGAAGTTAGACATAAATATCGATAGATGTCGGCTAATTAGTTCAAAAGTTGAGGGTTCGTGTGTGAGACCAAAAGTTTAGGGTTCAATCTCAAGTGGCGGGATCATTTATGCACTTTTTTGAGAAGTTTTATATTAAGAGGAAGCGGCTGCCCAGTGCTTCGTGGCTCTTAATGGCAACCTAGCTCAGCTCACTTAGCAATTTAATCCATGAAAACCCTACGATCTCCACGAAACCACCTTCCTATACTGGTAAAATGAAGAATATATTTTAGCCTTAGTGGTGAAAAGTGGATACAATAATTCATTTATTTATTTGGAGTTTCATTATTTTAATTTTATGAATAGAAATTCCAGTATAATAAATGAATATTATCAGTCTCTCTTATTTATCCTTTAAGTTGTTACACAAAGAAAGTTGATCAACGCAATTATTATATCATAACTAAATTATTATTTTCATCCAATAATAGAACGCGTAACCGCTTTCCTCTCACCCATGTAAAATCATAGCGGAATATATTCTTGTATCCATATTGAACGCAAGAGCTAATCACGACTTGTTTACCTTGCCTCACAAAAGCAGATAGTGCGGTTTTAGAAGGGTGATAGGAAAGCAGTTAGGAGCTCTACCTCTGAATATTTAATCTCTCCGAGTCGGTCAACGTTATCAATATGTATTTAGCAGAAGTGAATCTCTTAACAACATCCTGATTATAACTCCATTATCGATAAATAAATGAGTAAAAACATCATATTCTCCAGTTGATCTACATTTATACACATCACGTAAATAAGGTCAGTGGTTTACACATAATTCATGTTATGTTAAGAAAGACAATGAATTTATTAAACAAATGTGTTGTGACATGAACAGACTAAAAATGTGGCTGTTTTTAAATTTTAGAAAACAATATAAGTGACTAAGGTTGTAATAAACCTAAGTGAAAATATCACTTCGTGTTAAAAACTGAATTATCAGTCAATCATTTCAGCATGATAATAATATTTCGGGATATTAATTAAGAGAATAGGCTATAACGCGTTCCTTTGAGTTATTGGTTGATGGGAATTACAATACGGAATCGGTATAAAGATTATCAATCAGCTTTCGGTAAAATAAAGGAACTCCAATCTCCCAATATTTTACTTAGTACGATCCATCCTTACCTAATGCGATTGCCTCAGCTGTTTAGACTTATGGTGTAGGGGCAATTATCTCCCAAATCTATCTCAATGGATCTGAAAAAGCGATCTTTCGCGCAGTCGAATCATTGACAGCAATAGAACAGAACTATAAATTTTCATTCAAACAAGGCCTCTTATCTCTATTATGGTCACTAAACAAAAACTAACACCAAATCAAACTAAAACTCCTAGTGAATCGGTTTTTATGATTGGCTGTAACAAAAACTTATATTTTTTATCATAAAAGTGAGTACTTTAATCCTATTACTATGGTTGTTAGAAAATAACCTTTAAAAATGTGGAAAATCAAAGAACACATACTGGAATGATTCATCTAAATTTTATTTCTAATAAAGAAAAGATTCCAAAATAGTTGGCCAAAATGAAATATCCAGAGCTAAAATTTCCATCTCTTTAAAACTAGTTAATCCAAGAAAAACTTCCTACTGTCTCCCGAAATTGGATAAGTTATTTTTACAGTTCCTTCCAAATATTAATATGATAATTCTATCTTCATCTGTTTCTATGCATTAAATAAACCAAGATCTAATTGTTTCTTATTAACTGACTAAAAAATATTCATGAATTACTATTATAATATACATAATAATAATGATAATAACAGAAATGATAATATTGGTAGCAATAGTGTGGTGCGTACTACTTATATTGATATAAATAGTATATGACGCGAGGCAGGAATGTAATGTCTGGCAGCAGAAGATGGGAAAGATCAAGAAAGGAAGAGCGGGAGTAGAAAGCAATTTGTGTGGAAATGCAAGAGCAACGAAGTTCGAGACAATTATTGAACATTTTGCAAATTAAGTATTATAGTATGGTTTTTCTATTTCACCAAGTAACTCTGTAATTTTGTTCTAAACATAATTCGATTATCCCCACCCTTGTTCTGTTCACTACAATAGTAGTTAATCTATAATATTACTTCCTATATGTTAGGTTTGCATAAAATTAAATACCTACTAATCCGTTGAATACGGGAATTGCAGGTAGAAAAATTATTGTGATAATAATTCCAAACTTATTTTAACTGTACCAAGTGTAAATACTTCGAAATTTCTTCTTCTTCCTATAATTATTATTATGCAAACAATACTAGACAACTATTTTATCTAAACTTGAGACTAATTTAAAGCTTACAGTATTTATATTTGTAAATGAAATCTGTCGTTTTCAGTTCTCCTAAGAAAAACTTAGTAAATATTTTATAACTGATAAGTTTTAAAATGTATATTATTTAAGCACACTATACCAGTGTTTAATCTATATTCACTATTTATTGATTTTTAATAGTTTCCTGAAATTCATATTATTTAGAAAGGAATCAAGAACTTTAGATTATCATTTTAATTATTAATAGAAAAATACTAATGATAAATTTATACTTACTCCAATTTCAGCAAACTCCAATAATTTTTCGGATTCTATCCTACTTAAATTTGGTAGACACCAGATGTTTTGTGTACGAGTTATACGTTCTTTTAAACTTGGAAGTTTTGGTGAGACTTGTAAATTGAGTGAATCATCGTACAATTGATGTATATGACTTGTGTTTTGTGTGAATGGAATAGATTGTTGCTGTTTTAATTGGTTCCCATAATTTACCTCATTAGAAGATACAGTTGGTATGAAAAAGAATAATTCATCGACTTCATCTTTATTATAGAAACTATCATCATCAATATCATTTTCAGACTCATTATCATCAATGATCTCTTCATCAATATCACTAATATCGTTTAATTCACAAGCGATATGATTATCATTTGAAGAAATAGTAAAACATGAATTTGTAGGTGAGATACTGCTTACATTATTGTTAGTAATAGTATTAACATCAATATGTAGTGATCTACTTACTTTAGAATTAAACATGATTTCCGATCGGAACATATTCGAATTTAAAACTTGACGCTGATTATGTTTAGTGTATTGATTTGAATGGGGAGTTGGATCGTCGACCTCTGACTGTTTCTGTGATCGATGGTTTTGACTTTGGTGATATGGAAGGTGCTTTAATTCATGCTCATAGACGTGTCGCGTTGAAACATGAAAAGTTGACGATTTACTTAACATTGTTGAGACTGAAATTTAAAAATAAACATGATCTCAAATATCTTCACATTCTCGTAGGAAATAATAAAATAAGTCAGTGGTTTTTAAAGCCATTCGAACCATGTTTTGACCGAGAAACAGTGATGAGAGTATTGCATACATGTTGAATGATGTCACTTTCTAAAATGTAAAAAAGATATATAGAATTGAATAATGGTTGATCAGGAAGATCAAACCACCAATTCTGACTCACAAAATATGAGGTTAAATTTTATTTAGTGGTATATGAAAGATGCCCAGGCGTATGCCGAATTCAAACTCTAAGTTTATAGACAGGAAACTTCCTACACACAAAAACATTATATACTTACCCCTGGTATTTATTTGATTTGTAACTGTTTACGGATTGACGTAAAGTAACAAAAGCGGAAGCATAATATCCACACCTTGAGGAAAGCACCCAAGTGCATCACAAGGAAAGCTCTCACTTGGAATCCACAAGGCCGAAGGAAAAGAGGAAGACCAAAGAACACATTACACCGAGGAATGGGGACAGAAATGAGAAGAATGAATAACAATTGGATAGAACTAGAAAGGAAGGCCCAGGAAAGAGTGGGTTGGATAATACTAGTCGGTGGCCTATTCTCCACTGACAGTAACAGGCGTAAGTAAGTAAGTAACTAATATCTAGAATATCAAAGAAGCAATTAGTGCAAAAATGATTGATACGGGTTCAATTTGTGCCTTTATTGATATTGAAAGGTACTAGGTTAGTGTTTTAGTGTGAAAACCACTACTGTAGTTTAGGTACACCCAAATGGTGATTCCTAAATAATACAAAACGTGTATTCTGCATTTCACTGCCAAACACAATCCGTCCATTCTAAAAAAACTAGTATGAATAGTATAACGTATTTATACCGAGGAAACTTAAATCAATATTTTATAACTGTTAAAACTGATTATTAAAATATTTCTGAAACTTTAAAGAAACTCTTAGTCAATTGAATTTGTGGTGTTTAGATGAGTAATTCAAAATGTTACTACAGAACTTTACATATGGTAGTTAACCAATTGAAGTATGATGCATGTTAACTATAGCTATAGCTATATCTGTTTTCATTTTCAACAAATCCAGTTAAATTATATTATTAAAACTTACAATTTCTTTTATTATAATTTTAATTAATCAGACAAAATATCTATGCTACAACAATATTCAGTGTTTGGGAAGTTTCTTTTTTAAACATTTTTAACATCTGAATAATATATTTATAATATAATCTAAACAGTTAAGAGAAAGAGACTCTTTCATTATGAATTATGTTTTATTCACACAAAAAAATAATTTATTATTATTTTCAAGTGTATAACAAAATAGAAAAAGATAATAATATGATGCATGTTTAGTCGCATGTATACATATTCATATATATGTGAATTTATAGAGGGAAAATGTAGAACACTTAATTATTGATAGGATAGAAAGTGTTCAAATTAAAGGCCTTTGACCGAGAAAAATTGTTTAAAATATACACAAAATGGAAAATAATAATAATACGAAGAAGAAGAAGAAGAAGAAAAAGAAAGAGGATTTTGAAACTTTTCTTAAACATTTTATTGTCAATAAAAAGAAAAGAGAAGAATAAACTTTTAAGTGTAAATTAGTTACATGTGGACATGGGTATTTGTGTATGTTATCGTTTGAAAGTTAAATGAATAAAAGAAAATCAGACATATCTGTTTAATCGTGTTCGTTTTTTATTCTAAACTAAACTTTCACTAATTCATCAATAATGAATGAAACTGTCTTCCTTTTTATTAAATCTCCTTTTAAGACTTAAGCCATTTAAAAAAAATATGTGCATTAGAGTTTTAGTCCAGAAAGGTTTATATTTAAGAGGTTAAATGTTGGAAATGTGCCAGTTTTCGGTTGATCAATATGACCTGAAATTCAATTTTTACTATAGAATTTTAAAAAGTACAGTATTTTGACGAAAAATATTGGTTTATTTTCACGAAGATAATATTCCATAAACTCATTAAGAATTTAATTTATCTGGCATAAAATATGCGGAATTAACCAATTATAATGACAATTGTATTGGGAACAAAAACCAACTGAAAATGGATGGGTTTTTTTATGACGCACGATGTCCGAGACTTATACTAATACACGAACTTCCTATGCATTAACCCAAAACGGCTACTGAGCAAGAAGACTAAAAGTAAAGAAGGAAATTTTGGGGGCTGAACGAACTTCTATGCATAAACTTTCATACATATATATATACTCCATAGAAATTGAAACCATTTTTGGCCGTTAACTTCATTACTTGTAAATCATATAAATAATGGCGATTATTCTACTCTAAAAAAAGGGACTAGAAAACCTGAGGGATATACTAAAAGGATAAAAGGAATATTTTAATTAGACAATATTTAAATGAAACTGCATTATTAGGATAAAAACAGTCAGACAAAATCAAAGCTATTTAGAAACATATAAAGTTTGAACTAATTCAAGTTGTCTTACTTTACATTGGTAAATGGGAAGAGATTCAACAACATAAAGAAGGAAATAAATACTTAAAAGGAATTATGATGCTAAGTGTGACTAAAAGCCAAGGACCAACGCAAGAAGAGCAGTTAGTTAACAAGAATATCATCTGATAGAGGATGGGTGTCGAGTATTTGCATTGATTGTGACATAGCTTAACTTAAAGGCATTATAATCAAAGTACATCACAACTTTTGACAAAGTTTGAACTATTGGTTAGATATTGAGTATACTTAGTACATATGTCAGTCGTCTGGCGTTAAGATTGAAACAAAGTGATGAGGTTTCTAGTACATGCGAAACATTACGAGTATTAAACAGGCATAAACGAGGAGTCCGAATTACTCTACGTGGCTATGACCAACAAATAGCGACTTCACGAACTGATCCCATGTCATTATTTGATAACCGCTAGCTTCCCAACCTGCCCTTAAGTCGCACAACGTTGAACATTGAAGTAGACAGTGATTAAACGTATTTAGTACAAGTCTCAGTCACCTCAGTCGATGAAAATTACTATTATCGTTGACGAACTAGTCCATATTACCTATAACGCTTTTCGAAACCTTAGTATCGCTTACTCAGTAGTTCCACCATAGGGGGATGAATGTTTAGTAAGCACCCATGACCAAATATTTGAAACCTACTTGTGTCTTCTTGTTTCATAAGCCGTCTTCGAGAGCCATATAATAATAGAAAGCAGATTGCTCAGCAGCATTCTTGTCTCTTGATAGGCATTAAAAAGAGAGATGAGTTTTCTTCATTCATGCCGAGATTCTGTTGGACGTCGACCTACTAGTGTTGATGCGGCTACAAATTCAAGTGAAGTAGTCGATTCATTTTATTACTTCGGTATATATTTTTTCTCAACGATAAGCTGGAAACTTTCTTAATATTCTAACGGGAAAAACGTTTATGAAAAAGTATTCCATTTACCCAGAGGGTTATTCTATTTTCTTTATTTAAGTTCTGAATGGCATGCCATACAACTACCGTGAAATCATTTGAACTAATTGGAAACAATTTTACCACAACCACAATTACAAGATATCCCAGACACTTCAGCTTAAGTAATAACTTATTGACTGCCATAACAGACGACTGTGTAATTGATCATGAACGAAGACAGCGCTTCACAAAACTTTGTTGAATATAAATAAGAATAAAAAGCTGTGGTAAGTCAATGGGCTGAGTGTGTAGCACTCTGACAAAATGTAGTTACCAGGCCTAGAAAAAATTCACTTTCCAAAATCTAAAACATATTCTTTGTGTTTATTGTATTTTTGCCTTGATTTATCCTATAAACCATCACAGGATTTACAGGTCATAGATATTATATAGTTTATTTTTTACAGTATGTATAATTCATTAAGCATATAGCCATTTATCTAATTTTTTGTTAACTAATTCAAATTAAGTTAATGAAACAACCTGTTTTGTGACAGGCATCAACTACATTTCATGTATTAAATACATGTATAAGGCTACGGTTATTTTCCTTTTGGGTTATATAACTAATATTTATACTTCAAAAAGGAAGAGTACTTTTCCATGGTAAGTTGCATAATTTACGACTGTAAAATCATTATAAATGTATATATATTTTACAAGCTAATTATGTCTGTACTTTTTGTAATAAATAATGTCTGCATGTAGTCCATTCCATAAATAGTAATCTCAATAAGTTAGAAAATACTTGTGATAAAAAATGTTTTAATTTTGCGCTTGCAGTACTTATCGGGTGAAATGATATTCATTAGTTCAATCAGTCAATAATATATTAGTTTGGATCAACTCTTATCATTAACGAGTATCTTGTCGTATTTGTTCATAGTTCTATTTATAAAAGTTACTGTTCGGGAAGGACTTGTCATGCATTACGCGATAAGTTTCATGCTATATTAGTTTTATAAGAATTTCACATGTAACTTTGCTACAGACCCTCGATTTTGAAGAGTGGTAAACTAAAACTCAACAGCTGTCTAATTCTTTATAGATTTAAGTGGTTTGAACAATGGTACGAGTTCATGATGAAAACTACTTTTTCAAATAAGTTTTGATTAGATACGAAAAGTTGTGAGTTACTTTAAATTTGGTTTGACAAAATTTTTACTACAACATCCATTCAACTACAACATTATAACAGCGTTTGGTTAGACTACTTACAATATTTATTTTTTGCTCTTTGACATTATGATGATTTAAGCAAAGAAGCATTTTTATATAACATGGCTCAGAACAAGATCCAGTAACTACACGACTGTGTATGATATTAAGAAGTAGACAGTTAAACCTGTTTTGACTATCAAAAAGCACTTTGGATACTAAGGCAACGTAAATTTCTATTAGAGATTCAGTCTTACAACTCGGGAAGGTTACATATAAACCAACCAAGATAAGGGTTATACTTGATAATAATGCCATATATGTAAATATGTGTACTTAATTAATAAACGGTTGT